GATGGGCCGAGGGCTCGCATAGTGATTATCTCGCTATAGTCCGAACCCAGAAGTTGTCTCAACTTGTCTTGATTGAATGCCGCAAACCCCTGTCTTGCGGCAGTAAACTTCTTACGCCATGCTTCTTCTGTCTGCGAGTGAGGAGCCGGAAGTTTGCTAACTTGCAGGGTGTGACCATCGTGAGCGAGTTTGCAGTCCGCGCTCGTCCTGCTGAGTCCCTTTTGAAGATGTCGAGCGCGGGTTGCGTCGACTGTGAAGTTCCAATGCTCTCGGGTCGCCGACCGCAAAAAGACATTCAGCTGTGTGCAGTCCTGGCAGTCATGCGAGACAGTCTGTCGAGAGAAACTCAGGGTTGAGTTGGGGTTCCTTCCCACGCACTTCTCGGTGTACTTCTCAAGAATAGAGCAGGCGAGTTGCTGGTACCGCGGGATGCTGAGGGGTATGTTGCTGGTCTCCAGGGCGGGGATCAAGTGGTGAACGAAGGGGACCCAGAACGGCGTGAACAGCGCCTTTGGGACCTTGTCGATTTCGCTCGCAATCTTGAAACAAAGCATCATGGCCAGACCGTCAGAGCACTCCCGGCAATGCACCAGGAAGTCGGCGAATCGGCGAGGGTCGAGTACGTTGCTGGAGTGACTCAACATCCGAGCCGATTCCTGGACGCGGCCGAGTCTCGCAACTTTGACATTGCTTTCCTCGCCCCCAAGAGTAGATATGTCCATCCCGGCAATAACGGACTTCAAGTACGGCTTGCAAATATCGAGAGTCTTGCGCAGTGGAACTTGGCCATCGATAGCGAGTTTGATGACTTCTTCGAGCACCGTGAGAGCAAATGAGGTGAAACCAATCTTGAGCGCCACAACGGGAAGAATGCTATGGAGTATGGTTAGTGAAGGTAGGAATGGGTGGAGTCTTCCCGCCTTGTGGATGGGGAGAGGTTGACGTACTGTGTGTTGATGTAGTCGATGTCTATCTCGACACATTCCTCGATAATCAGTATCAAGGACTTCGCTTCGGCTTCCCCAACCTAGGCTACCGCCATTATGAGTCAAGGCCCTTGGTATGTCGGCGATAGATCTGCACTTACAGGTGTGTTCTTGCACATGGTCAAGCACATCGGAACCACCTCTTCCACCGCCCAGGTATCAATCTCTTCAGCCACTCCGACATCCGACAAAATGGCTCGCAAATACTTGAGCCAACTGCTCATCGGGTGACAAAGCAAGCAGCTCATGAGGCTAGGATAGGTCAGCAAATGCTAGATTTGAGTTTCTGAGATCCTTCACAAACCTGTCCTTCAGCTGTTCGAAATCGACATCCCGTGCCATGTCATCCCCATCCGTGAATCGAAGCCTGACAGCGTAGAAAGCAGATGGCTCGACATAACACTTTACAAGACTCATCACTGTTTGATAGAGCCCATAGTCCTCGATAACGATGGCAGCGTCAAGAAGCCTTTCCGCAATCGCGCGATTCACCGCCACCGGCTCCCATTCCATCATGAGAGACGTGCCGCTAGGAGGTTTGCCCCATGCTCGTTTGGCGAGTCCTCGCGCCATCGTGGCATTGACTTCTCGGTCTTCACCCACATGGCACTGCTCTGCAAACCGATACAAGGTTCTTTGGGCCGCTGCTGGACTGTACCCTTGACTGAGAAACGCGGCCGAGGCGGCACCACGCGGAACGAGGGCAATGGCCTGCATGGTGTTAGAGTCCGCGGCGAAGCAAAGAAAACTGGGATACTTACAGCTTGTCTGTGCCAATGAATAGCCTGGGGGTCGTCATACGGGCGATGTCTACTCCAAGGAGTGTAATCGGTCTCGCCGCTTTCCGAATTCTCAAAGGGGTCCCAGCTGTCGTGCACCATCGTGTCGAGAAGGTAGCCCTCGTCGACACTGAAGGAGGAATTGAAACTATTCCCATCCAGATCGCCGAGCACCTTGACATCCATGCTGCTGTCAATTACGTCGTCAAAATAGTGCCAATCCCTCTCCTCGGGCTCCTCGGGCTCCTCATCCTCGTCCTCGTCCTCGTCCTCGCTGGGGAGGCTCTCGGGCTCGGACTCACGCTTGGTCATCCCCCTTTCCTCTTTCTCCAGAATGGTGAAGAAGGCGTCGAGCTCCAATTCCGCCGTGATGTTGGCAAGGGCTTCCACTACAAGCCGATCCACCCCTTTCAAACCCTGCAGAGAGAGCTCCTCATCATCGTAGTTCTCGTCCAGGTAGTAGTACAGATGATCCGGCGTCTCTTCAGCCCCACGGTTGTGATATTCAAGATATCTGCGCACAGCATGTCGTAGAGGCCGAGCTCCGGCTCTTGCAAGGGCGGCGGAAGGGCGCGGCGACCCCAGGGGCATGACAATCTTGTACACGAGGAGGAACTTGAAGCCCTCTGTAACAAAATTCGCCTCGCAGGAAGCGTCAGAGTACCAGAAGACGATCTCGGCCATGTCAGTTGCCTGGTTAGAGGCCCTTGGCCCCCAGGGCGACCGCCCAAAGGTCTTGACAACGCCACCGTGCTTCACGGCCAGGGCGCCTCCTCGATGCGGCGAGGGAAGAGAGATGGCGAGGGTGCCAATGACGTCGGGGCGCGCCTGGGTATCGTCGTGGAGTGCGAACGAGTTCCCCTTCTGGTAGATCAACAATTTTTGGCGCTCCGCAGTGGTGGCCTGGTCGACTGGTATTCCCAGCGATTTGGCAGTGTGTTTCCAAGCCGCCTTCAAGCCGCGCTTGGCGCAGTCAGTGTTGCGGGTCTCGAACTGATTGCGTGATAACTCCCAAGCATTGGAAAGGGTCTCATTCCCCGTTCCACAGGAGGCTAGATTAGAGAAATGGTCAGTCAAACACCCGATGGACAACTTGAACATTGGGGAATGTGAGGCCATACCTGGTTGAGCTTGTGCAATGATCTGACGAGCCCGAGTCTCACTGAGTGGAAGTGAGACTGGGCCAACTCCATGGACAAAGAGGTCAGGCTGCCACATTTCCAAGAGAGTACCAGAGGCAGCAAACGACGAGCTCGACTGGATCCCGTCCAATGCGGCGAGAAGGTCCTTTTTGAGGTCGGCATGGTACTCGTCGGTGCTGAGATCGCTGGGTGTGAAACTAGGAGCGTCACTTGCCACACTCTCAGAGTCTTCGTTGCCGCCGTCGTCGTTGAGGACGCCATCATTTTCGGCAACGTCGTCGTCGTTGTTGCCCATTGCAGCCTCTGCAACGCCTGCCTCTGTCTCTTCGCTTGGCGTCCGTGCGGCAGGGGGCGGGACCGCGGCAGGGGCCATTTCAGCGTTCATTGGCGCAGATCTGTCCATGATTGAGGCCGCTCAGCGTGCGCTGCATCGGCGAAGCGCCCGATAATAAATACACTTGCACCCTCTGGCTTGTGTTGCAGAGATGCTCGCCGACGTCACTTGTTGACGAGGGTGGACGCGTTAAGAGTTTTCGTTGCGGACCGACGGGACCCGCTTCAGCAAGGGTGCCCGGTTGGCCAGCGACGGAAATCCGCAGGTCGGAAAAAGCGATTGTGAAGTCCGTGTTAGTGGACGTTCGCGCTAACAATTGCATGTCGTCACGATACGCCCATGATGCAGAAACTTTTAGCACGTTTCGACTTTTGAGTTCTGTCATCCCATCTCGACAGCAAAAAGACGGGGGGCAAGCTCCTGTCATCCCATCTTCAACGGCAGGTGCGATGACTAGACCTGCCAGCTGGGGTAACGGCCTCCAGCAAGCTGCAAGAGAAGTTTCTTTTCTGCACGACCAGAAACTCAATGCACGCTGCTCAAATTTTTTGTAGACGGAACAGCCCGTCGGCTGTGGCGCCGAAACGACCTGCCCGTTCCCACCAGCAACAAGGTATCGAAAGCGCCACGAATCACCAACACTCAGCGTCCGTTTGCATTTTCGACTCGTTTTCGGCCCGCCAACTCTGAAGGGCAGGCATATGTCCTATTCGTCCCTGCCTTGTGGATCTGAGTGGACATCGACCTGGGGACTGCGAGCCCAACATGCCCAGGCATTTTTCTCAGCAGCTACGCCATAAGCAGTGGTCGAAGAGCTCAGAGGGCTCTCTACAATTGGCCGTCGCAGAATAGCATGATCATTGCGACGTTTGCCATTGGAACGGCCCAAGACGTTGATTTCAACAGTCAGAGAATCAACAGAAGGAAAGCACCACGCCCGTCCCGACTCCCATTTCCATGACGACAGATAACTGACTTGATGAGATTCGCTTCTTCGGAAAAAATACACTAGCATACAAGCTCGATCGACAATCTTCCGTCCAACACTCCAAACGCCATCTTGAAACTCTCAACTCGACCTCACACCGGCGACTTGGGAACTTCCCCCGGATGAGCAGCATCTTGTCCCGGATTCGCCTCCTCATAGTGGAAGAACTTGACCAGCGCATAAAATCCCGAAGCAAGCAACGAGCCCAAGACAGGACCCAACCAATAGATCCAGTGATATCCCGGAAACTGCCTCGCCGCAACCGCACATCCCAGACTCCGAGCCGGGTTCAACGAACCGCCGGTGTATCCCGTCCCTGTTCAGCGTCAGCACTCACCGTCTGTCGCATCTCGTCAAGTATTCAGACCCAAGACAAGACTCACCAGCAATCATAGCAACAAACAAAGCCAACCCGATTCCAATCGGGGCCATAAACGTGTCTTTCGACTTCTCAATCGCCAACATCAGGACGACAAACACCAACAGTGCCGTGAAGAACATCTCCATGAACAGCCCCTGCGCGACCGAAGCCCCGCCCCCGAGCACAGAGTTCGCTTCGGAAATCGGAACGGGGAACATCGCCGATACAAGACCACCAGCGCAAAGAGACGCAATCAGCTGCGCGGGGATGAACAGGGCACCACGGGTCCAAGGAAGCTTGTTGGAGAGGCAGAGACCGAGTGTCACCTGGAATTTCATCAGTTCCCGCCGAAAAAAAAGACCAAAAAAAAGGGCAAATGTGCAGTTGACGCCAGCAAAAAGAAGCTGATATGCCTAATACTGGAATCAAACCAGTGATCTTTGCATGTCGTCAAAGAGGAAGTGATACAAGTGTAACGCATTAGCCACTATGCTAATCAGGCTTGTTTTGATGGGCTGTCGGGAAGAAAAGGAGGTTGATATCGACGGAGGGGACTGGGGGCTAACCGCAGGGTTGAACAAGCCGCCGCTGATGCGGTAAAACGCCCACACGGTCACCAGCAGCGAGAAGCTATAGGCCAACGAGATGAAGATGATGGTGTCGCTGCGCATCGCGCCCCCTGGAGAGGTGTCAAGAGTGGGGGCTCTGCTGGCGGCCATGAGGTTGCCGGCGTAGGCGAAGTACAGGAACAGAAAAGTCCCCACAAATTCCCCGACAGTGGCGACGAGGTGGGATTCCATGGGACTGAGGGTGATGCGACGCCGTTCCCATCGCTGGTGGCCGTCGGCTTCTTTCGGTGCCATTGTGAAGGGGTTCTCCTTGGAGTTGATGCTGCAAGTGCGGTCTGATGTCGACAACTTGGATGTCAAGGTATGCCAGAGGGGGTTGTGGTTTTTATGCCAAAGAGGTGGCCATGACGAGAACCATCACCGGACGCTTTCGCCGGGCGGTGGCTGCTGGACATGGGATGCTGGCATTGCTGGACATGCGGTGCAACCAGCACTGATCGGCCTATGGCGTTGACACTTGGGATGGATTGGGCATCCCGGCTCTGCCGAGCGAACCGACTGGTCAAGATCAGCGTATCAGACGGCGGGTGGGTGGTTGTTCCAGCGCCCGATGTGGACGGTGATGTCACTGAAAGCCAGTTAGCGGCGGGTTGCATGCCGCCCAAATGCCGGACGTGCATTGCCGATCCTCGATCACCTCGGGCCGCATTGCACCTCCACTTCTCTCCGCATTTTGGAAAAGAAGTTTGGGATGTGACAGCAGCGATCGCGTTCATCAACTCCAAGACAAGCTGACCGCATGTTGTTGATGATGATGTTGTCTCGGATGTCAGCAAAGCTGCGGTTTTGCAATCGATATCTCGAGGTACAATCGCTCAGTGTCGGATTCAACGGCAAGGAAGGGAATAGAGACATTGCATCACCATTCGCACTGATCATTGTCCTGGAAAAAAAAAGAGGTTGAAGACACGACAAAGGCCCACAATTAATTACCCCTGAAACCGTCTATCTACGTGACGCCAAACGCCAGCCATTTGCACCGTCAATCATACACTCATCAAGTCATCAAGAAACCTCCACTCTATCGTCTACACACTCAACATCTTCACCCTCGCCCTGCTGAACCGCATCCCCATCTTCTTCGCCGCCTTCTCCTGCCGCCCATGCAACCTCTCTAACCACGCAAACCCCTTCTCCCCCTGTTCACCTTCCCACTGCTCCCTTCCACCCCCCTCTTGCCTTCTTGTCGCCCTCCTCACCTCCCACAACTCCACCACCTTCCCCGCCCTCCAACCTCCCTCCTGCTGTGCCTCCATCGCCCACTCCACCTCAGCCAGCCACTCCCTCAGCCTCAACTCCCCTATTACAATCTCTAATATCTCCCTCCCCTTCTCCTCCTCCATCCCAAATACCCCCCTCGCAAGCTCATAAAACCCCTCCACCACCCGCATCCCCCTCCTCCTCCGCCACTCACTCGCATCCCACCCGCCGAACTCCCCCCTTACCAAATCCGCCTCTACCCCCCTCACCACCTCATCCAACCCCACCCTCAACGCCTGCCCAAACGCCCAGTCCACCCCCCGCTCATAATCCACCTTAACCACCCCCCTGCTCCTCTCACTTAGCAGCCCCAGAAACCCATACAGCTTATCCCGCGCATCCTCACACTCCAAATGCCCATACCGCGTGAATATCTCCGCCAGCGTATCCGGCAACGCAGACTGATACTCCTGAATTTGGAACTTGCTTGAGGCCGGTGATCTGAGCTTAGAAAGCATCTCCCCCATCCCCAAAACCTCCGCGCCCCCCGCCAACGGATCCAAACCCCCCGGAACGGGCCTCAGCAGCGTGCGCAGCCGATACGTCGTCAGCATCGACGCGGGCGTCCCGCGCCAGTTCGACCCCGACGGGGCACACCCCGCAAACACCCGCAGCGGGAAGTCAAACACCCCGCAGCGCACCGTAACGCTAGACGCAAGAAGGATCTCCTGCAGCACCCAGACGCGCGTCCAGTACGGGTGGTGGCTGAGATAGCGGTGCGCGTCGAGCTGGGACGGTGTCCAAGAGGCGGGGGATGCGGACGGGGACGCGGAGGCTAGGCTTTGGATGGCGGGGAGTTTGTCCGGTGGAGGGGGCCCCAGCCAGGCGAGGACGGAGGCGGCGCGGCGGTAGATGGCGGTCATGAGTTGAACTTGGGACTGGCGCTCGGGGTCGTGGAATTGGTTGATGCAGAGGGCGTCGATGAAGAAGAGGGTGTCGTCGGTGAAGGGGCTGGTGGTGAGGAAGTCGAAGAGGTTTTTGCGGATGAGGAAGGGTTGGTTGGCGATGTGGATGGTGTGGAGGTCGGATGCGCTGGAGATGCGGCCCCAGGTGTAGGAGAGGGCGTTGTATTTGGTGGTTGAGAGGTTTTTTAGTGGGACTACCTCGAAGTCGAAGTCAAGCCTCTTTTCTGAGGGGTGTTGGGATGGCTTGAGGAGGCGGACTTCTGTTACGGGGTTGATAGGGGGGTATGTGAAGCCGCTTTCGCGGTTCAGTGACCTGTCGAGATCGAAGCTCGACGCCCGAGGTCTTTGTCGTTGTGGTTGAACCATGTTGGAGTGGAAAATCCAATGTTGATTGTTGGTAACAATGAGATGAAAACATTCCGATCGTGAGAGGGGATGAAGATACCTAGTATTACATTGAAATTCCATCGTCTGGAATTCGAGGGTTCGTGGCTGAGTAAGGTGTGCGTGAGCTCTTCCGCGTCCAGTCACTCTCCCTCTGCAGTGTCTGCACTGCCCCTAAAACCCCCCCACCCGAGCAAAGCAGGAGGGTCAGGCCGCATGGCAATTGGCACCCAACCCTCATGCCAAGATGCTGCCTTGGGCCCTCAATAAAGGCGGGGCTTTTTTCTCTCGGTTTCTCTTTGGTTGTTCCAGGAAACAAAACCGTTGAGCGCCCTTCACTGCCACCTGCTCAATTGAGCGCCGCACGAGGCTTCCTTCCTTCAAGGCCTTCCTTGTGTCACCTCGTTGTTTGTGTCACCAACATTCAGGCGCTCAATCCCGCCAAAGCCATGTTGCCCAGCGTCCCGTAGAACCCGACTGTCAACGTCACCTTGTCCGCAAGAGGACTCAGATTCGCATCGGCAATCGGGGACGGGGTCCTCAGCCATGAATCGACCGACTCGCTTCGCCACCCAGACCGGGTTCTCATCAGCTGGAGCAAATAACCGTCAGTACAACTCTCCATCGACATTTGCACCGACATGTCACTCACCAATCCAGTGCCCGGCTTTCGGAACAACATCCGCCTCCACCTTCGCCGCAATCCCCGCCAACACTTGACCCGCAGCAGCCCCAAAGCACGCCTCACCTCCCAGCATCAAAATGGGCATATCCAACGGATGTTCCGCAGTCCCCTTGAACAACGCCGCATCCGCCCTCACCGACTGCGTTGAAAACGGCCCAAGCATCCCGCGCAGAAACCCCGGCTTCGAAATCGACGTCGCGTAGCGGTTGAGCGTCTCCTCGCTAAACGACTCAACACCCGAGTAGCTACAATGGTAAAACCACCACGATAGCACGTCCGTCTCGCGCCCACGGATGAGAAACTCGGCCGCATCGGGCACGCTGCAGAAGGCAAGCTGCCAGTTCGCCCACAGGTCCCAAAAGGGAGCAGGTGCGGAGGCGGCTTCGTATCCAAACCCGGGGAGGATATACTCTGAGAAGCTGGCGCGCTTGACGAGGGACGGGTGCTCTGCGGCGAGGGCAGCGGCCATGCCTACGCCCTTGTCATGCGAGAAGACGTAGGTCTCTGTGATGTTGAGGAAGTCTAGGACGCCCTTCAGATCGGCGGCGCTGGCGGCGGCGCTGTAGTCGCTGTCAGGGGGGATGGAAGAGTCGCCGGCGCCGCGGTTGTCGGGTGCGATGGCGGTGAAGTTCTCGGCGAGGATGGGGCCCATGATGCGCCATGTGAGACTGTGCTGGGGACTGCCGTGGACGAGGAGGAGGGGGGTCCGCTGCCGGCGTAGCGAAAGTGGATAGAGACGTCCTTGAGGGCGACGCGGCCGTGCTCCCACTGGTCGAAGTTGGTGAGGGAGAGGCATGGGGCGATGAGCAGGGAGGCCACGAGGCCGAGTGTCTGGGGGAGATGCATTTTGGTGAAGTGGATGTCTCCGATGCTGTATCCCAAAGGTTTGATGGGAATATACTGCGAAAGAGTCCCAGATCCCATTGTCGCCCTGCCAATGTGGCTCTCCTGTTGGACTCGGGAAACACCGAGATCGTTCTCCTTGGCTTGCCTAGAGTTCTAGCTTAACGCAACTGCAGGCAAGAATTCCATCACCATTGCCTTATTTCAAGCTGAGTTGATGGCGCTATGGCTGATAAGCCTGTGGTCGTAGCGGACTTTGGGATTCGTAGATCCGGCTTGGCGGGCGGAAGGATTCAATGGTTCAGCGCACTCCTGCGGATCAACTGCAACCCAACCGCTGAAGTGTTGTTAGTGCGCTTCTCAGGTTCGTTGTTCTGCACTAACAGAAAAACAGGGGTGGTATTGTCCACGAACAAAATTAATCAGCACTGGAGGCGGCAAGAAGCCGCGTGAAGTGGCCAACTTGCGTCCGACAACCGCTCAGCTTACATATCTTGGATGTAACTCTGCTGGCCCTCCCGCTCTGAGCCCTTGGCTTGTCAGCTGCCGGCTAGGCTTCTCATCTCAAAGTCGTCGTCCCGAAACGGGGCGACGTTGCGAGCCATCGGGGCAGCGCCTTCGAGGAGGTTCTCCTCGTCTTCCCTGCCCCTGGCGAACTTTGAACCTCTAAATCTTTGCACAAGAGCGCGTAGCCATGAAGGCTTGAGGAACGGAATCGATATGGCAAGCGCAATTACCGCGAGACCGCCCGTGAGGAGAAGATAGTTTCCAAAGGTTTTGTTGAATGGTAGCATGT